TCCATCCTAGGAGCGGATCACCAATGCCGAAGCTCTGAAGTTTGCAGATCAGGATTTCGTGGTCTAGTCGATCGAAGGCCTTTGAGAAATCTAGGTAGACCACGTCCACTCCTGCACCGCTGTCAATTAATTTGGTCCAACTCGATCTTGCTAGCAGCAGATTTGTTGTGCACGATCGATTCCGTCGAAAACCATGCTGTTCATGTGCAAGGAAGGCAGACTCTTCTAGATAGGCTGTTAGTACGTCAGCAACAATAGCTTCCATAACCTTCGACAGGACCGGGAGAAGGGTTACAGGACGGTAGTTGGCTGGATCAGAACGGCTACCGCCCTTGTGAATTGGGGTTATGATCCCACATTTCCACATCTCGGGTACATACATCTGATCGAAGCAGCGTTGGAAGAATCGTGCCAGAGGCTCCGCTAAACTTTCTCCCATTACCGCAAGGGACTTAGGGTGAATGTTGTCGATTCCAGGAGAGCTGTGCTTACGCATACACAACAACTTCTTTAATACCATCCCCGCCGTGAAAGTTATGTGCGTAAGTTTTGATTGTAAAACAGCTGCTGACAAAGGAACAGATGACCAAGGAATGCATTGGAAGTTCGAAGCATATTGCAGCCGCAAGGCCTTCGCCACATCCTCCGTAGTCAGCGTCATGCCATCTGGCGTTTGAAGAGGAGGGATTCCCCGTTTCACCTTGCGCAGGTTGTTTACATGTTGGTAGAGCAGCTTATGATTCGAAACCACGCGCTCCGTCAGGTGCTGTTGGTATGTCAGTTTATCCTCACGAACGAGTTGAGTGCAATGATTACGTTGAATTGCATAGGCCGTCCAGCTCTCCGTGCTCGGGTGTTCCTTATAGATCCGCCAGGCCGAGTTCCTCACTGCCATACATTTCCGTGTCCTACTTCGCACAAATGAAACAGTCTTCTTCGAGTGGACAACCTTAGTTTCGGATGCCTCTTCGACGAGAGTGCTAAATTGGTTGACGAAATGTGGCCATGCGATTGTCGGTACTTCGTCTGTCAGAAAGTTCCAGTTGGCCGTCTCTGAAAGTCGAGCCAGCTCATCGTACCGTATGATAACTCGGCTTTCCCGTGTAGTATCCGCAGGGTATTCTGCGTAGCATATATAATCGAATAGTAAAACTGCATGATCGCTGCAACCCAAAGGAGCGTCGATGATTACTTTCTCGACCATGAGTTCTTCGTTGGTAAATATCCGGTCCAGGATGGACGGACTTTCTGCTGCTCTGAATCTGGTGGGATTGTCGATATGGCCATAAAGCGGAAAACTGGAGACAAGGTCTTGTAGATCCGCTTTGAACTGTTCCGTAGGTGTTGCTTGGACATCCAGAGCGTGGATATTGAAGTCACCAGCGATAAGAATATGGCTGTATCTCCTGCTGATCACAAGCCTCAGCGCAGACGCGAGATCGAAGTCCATCTCAGGTGTAGAGGATGGAGGTCGATAAACGACCGCCACCAGACAGACGTCGTTGCCTGTTAAACGCAGCCGACACCAAGGAGTATGCTGCACGTTACTGTACACGTCTTCTATGGGCTCACATTGGAGGTCACTGCTGTAGTACAGAGCCACCCCGCCCCCTTTACTGGATCGATCGCGCCGAACGACGGACATGCCTGGTAGCTCGACCTCCGTGTCTGTGATATCCGGGCGCAACCACGTCTCGGTTATAGCGACGAGGTCACACGATTTGGACCTTTGACGTAGTCGCAGTGCGGATAGTTTGTTAAGTAAACTTTGAGCATTAGTGTACATACAAGACAGCTGCTTGAGCACCAAAAGAGCTTGTGGAGGATTACACGAAGTTGGATTTAAGCCGGCCGATGAAAGGCCGGCACCTGATCGTTTTTTGCGCAGTTTATCGATGAACATTTTGCACGGGCCTGCAGCCCACCTAACGTCGTTCCTGCACACGCAGAACGCTCTTCAATAGCGTCGTTTTCAGTGGTTGATAATCTTAATGCAGTGTCTTCGGCTCCGTTTATTTTATCACATTGAGCCACAGATGGTGTCACATCCTCCGGTGGCTTCGATTCAATAAATGGTACCTTAAATCGTAGTAGAGGGCAAGTAGATGCCACATTTGGATCTTGAATTCCGATGCAGTGAAGGACATGCCATATTTGTTAGCTTCAGTCACCAAGCGGTTTAGAACGATCTGCATAATCTGTGACTAGTCCCTGTACAGCACAAAATTATCATCGTAGTCCAAGTGACTCGCGCGGTTAATTGTGAAAGCTATACCCCGGAACCCTGGACACCTTCCGGTGCGTTTAATGGGACATTTGCAGTCACGAAGTTGTAGAAAATCAGGGACACGGGACGACAGTCGCATACCGCTAGCGAGGGCGAACGATGTAGCGAGCTTACCCTAAACACTCACTCCGCTAGAGATATTGCGTCATAAATTTCAAAGCATGGCACTGTACTTTTAGGGCAACCCATAAAGCCTGCCGAATGGCCGAGTCGAAAGCCACTCGGATGTCTTAAAAGGCAACTGTACTGGGCTGGCCATAAAGATGACGGCCCTCAAGGGGTTAACGAAATGCCAACATCTAATCCGCACACCTATGACTGGGGCGGTAACCATTCTGTTCCTCACGGGAGTGTATTTGTCGAATCGGTACTATCATGCGCAGTAGAATGAAGTTAGCAATTTGGAAGCGACGCATATTAGACTGATTTTTCTGTGGTTAGAGCAGGACGTACCGGTACCCTATTTGAAGATGAGTAAGATATGCGTACAGCCCCAAGAAGATAGAACCTTCGCTGTGTACCACATGTTATAGAACAGAGCTTGTAACTGGACGAAAATTGCCTCGCCACTATACTTGAAGAACTTCGGTGAAAGTCTGTCTGAGCTTCAAGTGATGAGCACAGCTTCGGTGGGTTGTTCCAGTGAAACGGTGGCTTCGAAATACAGAAGTATCCTTCCTCCCAGTGTAAGCCTATCATTGCGGATGAGTGACATGCCAGGCAATGAAACTTTGGCCTCCGCCATTCCAGTGCGTAAACCTGCCTCTTTGACACCGGTGATATTGCACGGCTTAGATACTTGGTCAGTTTAATTATAATGAGCCTTAGAACAGAAACAGGATAGTGGCTTGGTCTTTAGGAGCCCATACGAGGTCAAAGGGGCCAGGTGGTGCATAGGACGCCACAAGAGTACAGCATAATATTGGTGTTTTTGGCATACTTCGCTACTGGTTACGCTGGGACGAATTCACTCTCACCTTGAACGGTAGAGGTTGCAACGCAGCCACACAGTTGTAAAAATTGACTCATCAGATTGGCAGACATAAAGCAGCGAATTACGTTTGCACATTGGCTTCCGTCTAACGGAAATGCCGCGGAAGTAATCGATGTGTTTTGTGCCTTGTTTATGACGTAGAAAGAGCTGGGGAACCAGTCAGCACTGTCAGTTCACGCACCAGACTCCGATAGCTAGGCTACGTTTTACGTATGCTATCAACCAGACTCTCGCAACGCGCGTCGTTTGTGCGACGTGGGTCTAAATGAAAGAATAGGAAGGATACTCAACTGATGAAAAGTCAAGGGATTAACGTCACTCATATTTACCTTGGCTTCGGTTGGGCTTTTCAACTTTCTAGTTGAGGTCCGAAAAATACCGAAGAAATATGATTAAATAATTGACAGAAAACTGATCATACCTTTACGTGTTCTTGTATCATGACTTTTATTTCATAATATTAGGTATCACCTTTTATATATTATTTATTTGCATTGTGATACAATAGGTGATTTATTTGCTATCCTCAGTTAACATGTAATGCTTAGCAAAATAATGAGTTTGATGTACATCCGTACATGGCGAGGAGCTAATCTCATTGTTTATTATGTCGTGGAGGTCTTTGTCTCTATATATCTCAGTTAGCCTATCATTGAACCACGAGCACGACTTCAATCATACCACAAAACAACCCAGTGATATATGGGATTTTGTATTTTGTTTTCAACATCATTTTATGCTTTTTATTATTATCTAGTCGCATGGTATTGAGCACAGTAGTCAAGGGGTTTCTCAACGTGTACTCTTGCATAACATGTGTGACTGAGTTTTGCATGCTAATGCAATTTCTGTAAGTCACTGTGCGACCGTTTCTTTGTCTCTGGCTGTCTTAATAAGGCCGATAAGAAAAGAATTTCGGTCATTCGGAAAACAGTTTCCAACGCAATCTTGACAAAGGCCGTGAATACATTTCTCTAATGGCAAATACCGCACACACTTAGCAGAAATTGATACCAATTTGTCATAATCTTGTACCAAGGACGTGTGACTAGACTGACTTTTTGAACGACAGAACTTAGTCTTAACTTTGTTTCAAGGCGCAGTAAGCTCGCTTTAGCAACAGCTTTTCTATTAATTGCGCTGTCTTAACTTAGGATCATATTAAAATAGTTCTTTTTACATAATAAAGTTTATTTTGTAGTTGGACAGATTGCATCATTTATCTTTTGTTTTCTTTACCTTGCTACGAGTAACCAAGGACACGCCTATATGGGGCACCAGGCCATCCAACCGTGACGACAGCTAACTGGTCATGTGAGTTCCAGAACATTGTTGCAAGATCATCTAAACGTTTCACTACGGGTCCTGCATCTATCTGTTCATTCAAAAGCTGCTATCGAACGTTAAATCCAGAGCGCGAAACACAGCGAGAGGTGAAAACAGTTTAACTAGGAAAAGCAGCTGTTATTGAATGGCGAATACAGTTTCTATTTTAGTAAGTAAAGATCCAAAGGGAAGTAACAATTGGAAAGTTTTGCAAGCATTGCAAAACACGCTAACGCTAGGTTTTACCTATGGGCAATTGTGAACGCCGTACTATATCTAAAGGCACTGCGTTTTACATTAAATCCATGGAAGGAAAAACCGACAATATTAATTAACAGCATATAGTACCAGTTTAGTGACAGTGTTTCCAAAACGTTATTTACAGTTACTTACGTTGATGCCATATTTGAAACCCTTATCAATAAGCGATCCGTTGTCGTAGCCCTTCTCGCCTGCAATTCTTTCAATAATCCGCAAAAGTAGTGTTCGCATCACTGCCAGCTGTTCAGCGACGTTAATGGCTTCGTGTTGAGATAACAACATTGCATTTTTAACTGCAACACATGGATCTATATCGGTTTTACAGGTGTCAGCTGAAGAAGTGTAATTAAATTCGTTTTTGTTACGGTAAACGTAAATTTTTAAGTTCTTTTCATATAATAACGCCATTCTCCAGTCTTCATCATTTCGAATCGTTATAAGATCACCATCTAGTCAGAAAATCTTCGCTAAAAGCAGAAACGTGCCACTGTCCACATATTTGTATCGAAGACCAGTGTCGAAACTTCGGTCACGGAAAATAAATTCCACCAAATGCTTCAATTTTACGTATGTATCACAATCTCCTCCAATTGATATTTTGCGTATGTCAGAACCATATTTGAATTTAATAATTCTGGTGCTCATTTTCTACAATGGACCATTCTCCTTCAATTATCGGTTGAACAAAATGGAACGATAAAAGTTTAGTATGCGTTCGGTAGAGGGTTCGATGGCTTCTGTGTCCCGGGAGGTACGTGGGTAGCAATAAACCAACAAGGCTAAAAAGTAATAGAGATAATTCGTAGACGGCCGGACAGTTACATCACAACCACTTATTAAGAGCGAAAGCTGAATAGAGGGTGCGCTTGACTTTCACCTCATTGTGAGCTGGACAGCGTTGTCACAGCTGTTGATGGAGAGCCGAGTCTGAGATGACTGGATGGATGGCCAAAAACGCACAATGGTAATGGTTGCTGTAACGACACTAAAGATGAAATGTGAAGGTAAAGGGAGCAGGAAACATAAGCGGCGTTCAAGATCACGCCCAAAGAAATCTTGGTTGTTATCATGCTACATAGACACTCTAACGAGCTACATTGTCCCTCATTTATTAGGTGCTGTCATAAGCGCCTACAGAATCTTAGATCCGTGTCAACTTCCTGACGCAAAGATGGATTGACCATGACTGTAACGGGTCCGGACGACAAAGCGTGAGAGAATATTAGTGGTCGCTACAACGGCAGGAGTGTAGCTTTGGACATTGGCGTTGTGGGCTGGCAATGTCGCCAAATATGTAGTATGCTTGCAGTAGTGTATTAAGAGACCTTCAGTGTCCAGTGAAGTGTTCCATCATCAACAACAGCAGTCCATCCGCCGTTTGAACTGATGCCTCGATGCCATACAACCACGATGACCTGTGAAATAAAGAATACTAAGAGGGAGAGAAGGGGAACTTACCTGAAAATCGTAATGCCCTAAGCAAACAGTCAGGGTCAAGGTGCCTACATTTTATGTTAACAACATACTGTCAAAAACAGATGGCTATCATGCAAACACACGGCGGCATCGGGGTGACAGCTTTCTTACGGCTTTCACGGCCACGCGTCATACTCATCTATTACCCCGCAGATAACTCAGCACCAAACACACTTTCAACAGGCAATCCGATTAGGAGTCGGTTGCAGACGCGCCACTGGTGTAGGTTGCCAGCAATATCCTGGAACGTCTCGAGCCAAGCACAAGGCGAGGCACGTGGACTCTAGCCCGGAAGGCAAGACGGACCAACGGCACCCAGTGTGGTCGTCCGTGACTTTATTTCCCGCTGCCAAATCAACTTCTGTATACCTCGAGCCATGCGATACCCTACACCTGGCTGACTAAACATGGCCCTCCTAGGTAAGCGGTGACTAGGCATACGTAGCATGTGCCCGAGCCAACGCAACTTATTCAGCGCTATCTGTTGTTCTAGGGAGCTAGCATGATTATCATTACCTAATACTCGCCTACGCACATCATCGTTGCGCATACGCTGGTGTCATCCGATACCAGCAATGATTCGCAGACAATGAAGGTCAACGACCTGAAGGCGCCTCAGGTCTTCAGAACAAAGCGGCCAAGTCTCACTAACATAGAGCAGGACGGCCCTTACTATAGCCTTGTATACACGGCCTTTCAGAAGGAGGGAAACTCCCTTCTGTCGCCAAAGATGCCGCAGGTTCAAGGAGACATCTCTGCCTTTGCAATGCGTGAACTGACTTCAGTTTCTATGAGCCCATCGTTGCTGATGCAGCTGCCAAGAAAAGTGAACTGATGTACAGCCACTAGTTCCTCGTTAGCATGAGGCAAGGGCTCATAAAGTGGCTGGTGGTCCAGCAGCAATACTTGGCATTTTAAAGGTTCGAAGCGCATAGCAAATAATAACACCATTCAAGACAGACTATTCAGGGTTGATTGTGATGCTGCGACATCTCCGAAAAGCAAGACGATATGGTCCGCATAATCAAGATCAAATAACCTATCACCAGGCAGCACTTCAACACTTACATCGTGAGATTTCGCAAGACGGCACTTCAACGCCTACATCGGGTGGTTCCGCAAGGGAACGCTCCATGATAGAATCCACAAAGAAATTGAACAAAAGTGGAGAAATCGGACAATCCTGACGAACGCCACTTGTAGTCGGAAAACTATCCGATAGGCTACCGTAGACCCTGAATTGGCTTGTAGAGTTCGAGCATAGAGCAAGTAGGATGTTTACATATTTCGTGAGAACATCTTTCTGCGCAAATAGTTCGAGCAGCATCGATCGATCGACTGAATCGAGTGCACTCATGAAAGCGAGGAACTCAGCTATTATCGGTCTGCGATATGCGTGGCGCTGCTCTGGCACCTGCCGCAAAGTGAATATATGGTCTATACAGCCACGTCCTAGGAAGAAACCGGCCCGCTCTTCCGTAATCCAACATGGCCGTTCCCCAATGAGGCGACGAACGATAATTGTGGACAAAACTTTTGTCACAACTGGTGTTAGTCTATTACCCTTGGGGTTGGAAAAGTCTGTGACTGTCCTTCTTGTATATTGCCACTATAATCGATTCGCTCCAGTTAACCGGGACACCCCCTTTCAGATACGTTCGAATAGGGAGGTTAGTGCGTTGCGGAGGACCTCACAGCCATCCTGAAATAGTGCAGGTGGGAGAGAATCCGGGTCAGCGGCACGAAAAGGATTGGGGGCTGTGATCGCATTTCGGACTCCGGCTTCCGGCGGAGGCCATGAACTAACCGCCCATGGCTCGCACTGCATCACCTGAGTAAGAATAGGTCCGGGAACATGGGCCGACTGAACTGATCTTTAAAGTGTTCCGCCCAACGGGCCATACGGCGAGTTTTATTGTGTATCAGTGCACTCGCGCTGTCTCAGATGGTCTCACTGACGCTTGGTTTTTTGCGACCAGTTGTGCCGATTAGCTGGAAGAGTTTGCAGTAATTGCCTACTGCTCCCGCCTCCTCTATTTCTTGAACCCGACTGGTCTACCAGGCCTCCTTGTCAGCACGTAGGCTCCACTATCTTTTGTGCCTAATAAGCAGTGTGGACACATTGTGTTCAGAGCCAGCCGCGTATCCAAAGTGCGTGCGAGAACAGCCTGTTGACCTATTTGTCTCAGAGTGCGAACGTTGCACGCTGCCAGATAGACTGGACAACGTGGCTTTATGGGCGACTTTTACTGATAGGCGTCCGATGATTGTCGCGAGAAGATAAATTCAGTAAAGTTAATCGCCACCTGTACGCAGTAACTGCGCTTCGCTGCCACGCGACTACCACCAGTCGCGCGTAGGCTGAGTATACTGCGAGGACGCCTGCTCCTACGCGGGTTCGAACCGGGGAGATTTGGTTGCAAAGGAGATGAGTATACCCCTCGGCCACCGGCCGAGAAGGTGGCTGCAAATGGTTCTACTCCAGTGGCAATTCGGTTGCTGTCAATTAAGCTAGGAATTGTAAAAGGAAGGTTAGTAATAGTGTTCGGGATAGGAGTAAGAGCAAAAGGCGGAAAATAAAGAAGGGATGTACCAGAAGTAGCATGTTTCCGCTTACCTGCCCTGCTGTATGCAGCAGATAAGACCAAACTTGATAATCTGCGCGACCGTCGATGCAGGATGCAGTTAATGTTTGAAAAGGTAGTCATGGTTTTATGTGGGCTGAGGTACTGCCAGGGTGCCCAGACTTAGTAAAGAGGACGATTAGGGTTCTAATTCAAAGCTTTCAGGCGGTATACCTCCCCGAAGTATACGTCGGTCGTAACATAGCGGAGGGCTGAAAGGCAGCATAGTTCGTAGGCGGGGCATCGAACGCATGGAGCAAAAACCTGTCGAAATTGGGTTTTGTGGTCAGGTCATATCAGATAAGGTCAAACGGACGATAGAGGAATCCGCCTAACGAGCGTCCAGTTTCTTGTGCCCGTAAGTGAAGCACACTTCGACGTTGGCTTGACATCTTGCTTCTGCAAAGGAATGAAGCAAGAAAAAGTGCAAGCTTTGCACCTTCATATGTCAGCATCAAAATACACTACATATTCCAGTACTATAACCACATCTCCAGAAAATGCATAGACCATTACTCATCTAAGCCCATTTCGAAGGCTTCTACAGACTCACACTCCACGTTGACTGCCTTGTAGCCTACCGTATCCCGGTTCACGTTCCTATTGTGTGTTAAAGATTTTCCTTTTTCATTACGGTAAAGATATTCAGTACCAAGTCACCCCTGGACCCATTAACCGATTCCTTAGCTGTTTGTGGCAAAGCGAGTTGCTCAGAACCAGTTACTGGTTCTCCGGATGGCATGCAGTGTGACCTCTGCAGTTCTTTGTGCCATGAGGCTTGCAATGAGTTGGATAGACAGTATATTATCTTCCCACAAAACAGTAATGATTTACATTCTAATTGCCCTAGTTGTGTGAGGCGAAAAGCATATCGTCTAGTCCTAAGTGACGAATTTGAAACTTTGGTGAATAGGGTGGGTACCTTTCTATCTTTGTTTAGTTCTTTAGAAGGGATGCTTGATCAAATCGTCGTAAGCCTTGAACGTGGAGGCCTTCTTAGAACCATCGTGCGTTCGGACGATTGCATAAATAGTACGGCTTCGAAGGATTCAGCAACTCTTGAAGCGGCGCCTGAAGATGGTAAACATCCTGACGTTATAGTGAGCTCAGTTGTTAGTGGGGACGTTGTACAGGCCAGTGTATCTGCGAAGATAAAGCGACGCAAACTAAAGAAGTTCATCGGTACAACCAAACTCAAGATAAAAGATGTAACGATGTGCTCTGTTGATACTTCGTCCCCGGAAAGGAAGGCAGAAATCTCTTCCACCTCATTGCCGGAATCCTTCTTCTGTGCACCCGCTGTTCCCACTAAGGAGGATATGAACTCCTACGCTGCGCCGGCCACTGCTACGGTAACGCGTGCCCTAAACACCCTTCGTCGTAGTGATGCATTTACGGACAGCAGCGTTATCTTTAGGAATATTGCTGAATACTCTGCGGCTCTTCCGAAAGATCACATGCTTGATGACCTTCATTTGTGCAAACTTTGCGTTTCTGACCTACTTCCAACCGGGTTTCCTGAGGTTACTATTAGAAAATTTATTAAGCTTGAAAACATGTCGGGTGATAGTACTAAATGTAGACCCCGTCTATTACGCGTGGTCCTGTCTACACCGGAGGAGCGTCAAACTTTTGGTGCTTCACCTTTAAACTAAAGGTTTTCAGAGTGAGTATACAGTC